AGGATATCCTTCTTGTAGATAATATCAGAGAGAATGTTCAGGAAATACTTGAATTATGGAGGCCAGATTAAAAGGTTTTCGTTTGAGTAGATATAAAATTGAATACATGAAATATAATTAGTAGTAGTAGATCTGGTGGTGGGGTGGTAACAATGGTTGATCAAGTCATTAAAAGGAGTGAAAGATTTAGATATCTCGAGTTTAGTGTTCAAAGTGATGGTGATATAGATGAGGATGTTCTTACTAAATGTCAAGTTGAATGGTTGATTAAAGGCTTTCGTCTGAGTAGACATAAAATTGAATACATGAAATGTAATTAGTAGTAGTAAATCTAGTGGTGAGGTTGTAACAATGGGTGATCAAATCATTAAAAGGAGTGAACGATTTAGAGATCTCGAGTTTAATGTTTAAAGTGATGGTGATATAGATGAGGATGTTCTTACTAAACTTCGAGTTGGATGGTTGAAGTGGATGAATGCATCAAGCCTATTGTGTGATAGAAAAGTATTGCTTAAAAGGATAGAAAAGTATTGCTTAAAAGGAAAATTCTATAAGATGCTGGTGAGACCTGCAATACTTTATGGCACAAAATGTTGGCCTGTAAAAGAGAAGCATAAAATTAAGTATTGTTGAGATCTGAATGCTCAGGTGGATGAGTGGTTTTACACTTAATGACAAAATGTGAAACGAATATATCCGTGAACAACTTGAAGTAGCTCCAATGGCAGAAAAGATTTTGAGAGTAGTCTTAGATGATTCGGTCACATTAAACATTAACCATCTGATGAGCCAGTTAGGAGCCAGTTAGGACAATAGATGGTTTGGATTTGACTAATGTTAAGAAAGGTAGAAATAAAATATTTTGGCATGTTGTATAAAAATGATCTTAATTTATTAGAATTAAATCAAAATATGACACTCAATAGGACGCAATGTAGAAAAGGATTCATGCAGCCGACCCCACGTAGTGGGATAAAAGATTGTTGTTGTTTTATCTAATAATTTGATATAGAAAAATAAACACCTATTAGGGCATTTCACATGCTCAGTCAGCAAAGTGACCAACTAAATTATTGATTCAATAATGGGTATCATAGGAGCAGAAAACACAGAATGTTAGCAATGCAGGCCACTGAAGATGCTAGAGCATCAATCATATTAGGGCTCTTTATTACTTTACTTGTGTCACCCTTTGTTAATCTTGCCTTTCTTTTAGACTATTTGCCAAATTTACGCCTTCCATTTTTCTCTGTTGGCTGTGTTGCTTACAATGTTTGTATTTTTTAAAAATTACCTAGGAACAAACATTACTAGGGAATGTTTTCTACTTTTACGAGAAAAAACTCAATTATTTGTGCTTAAAAGAAAGGAGTTGTAGAGCAAGAGTCTGAAGGAAGAATAGAATGGAGCAAATCAGCATCAAATGAAAAGAATTCACTTATATTTATAAGCCACCACCAAGGCTAAAGTAAACACTAACCACATTATTAAAGTGATGAAGTTGCGGTGCTTTGAATGCCACAACCAATTAGGATAGTAAATTCTATCATTTTTTATTCTCAATAGGGTGATATATTATTTAAAAATCTTGTTCTTTTTGTAAAGCAATTTTTTTAATACAAGAAAATTGATGAACTAAAAGCACAACCCAATATCTCAAGCATCCACTTCAAGCAAAGTTGATTCAATCTAAGGAAAGTGAATAGAAGCTGAAGGATAAGGAAACGAAATTTGCCATGATCATGATGAACTAGATAAGACAACAAGAAGCTCACATTATATAAAGACATAGCCAGGCCTACTCATCTAAAAGCGCCATTTCCCAATATTCCTTCAAGGTAGTATGATTTCTCTATTTAACCAATTGGCAACCCCACCAAGACAAATCAATAAATTCATCTAACTCATCAACTTCACCCAATATAGTCGACAACTTCAAGCTACCTAGCAGCATATAATCAGCCCATGAATTTTGTCAAGAAATAACAAACATTTTCTTATATATTTGGCCACATGCCTTCTGTAATTTTATGGCAATCTATTTATGTATTTTCAGTTTTCATATGGCCTTTCCTGCAGTGCCAAAATCCATGGCTCTAATCTGCAAATAGGGGTCGAACATCTTTAGTCCATTTACCAAAAAATATGAACAATTTCGAACAGATATGAATCTAGTTTAAATTAATATGAAACATGTTCAAACTTCTTTTAATAATGATCAAATTTTATTCAAATATTATTCTAAAATATTTTGACATCAGTTCAAATATGCTACAAAATAGTTTGAAGAAGATTTAACCTTTGTTCAAAATACATTTAAATCTTATTTTAGCCACACAATAAGGTTCTTATATTTTTATTTGGAACATTTTTCTTCTCTAGCAAGTGAATTATGCCAAACAATATTCTTATCATCCATGATGGAGAATGGAAAGAAAAAGTCCAATATGATTGGGTGTTTATTAAAAAATAAAGCATGCCTAAAACATCTAGCCATTTGTTCTTTATCATATACTTTTGGCATCTACCAACGTCCCTGAGTTTCTCCCTCAATACACTTATTCTCTCTAGTTCCCATTACGTGAGCCTTGCGAGTCTGGTACTTAAGCTTCTAGAATTACTCGAAAATAATTTTGGATCCAACATAAGTGTGGGATTTAAAAAATTTATCAAAATCACAAAATTAATGAGAATCTATTTCAAGCAATTACTAAACCAATAATAAGCTATATAAAAGAGATTTGTAACAATAATTTTCCACCAAAAACATGACAATGGATGCATCCAAAGAATGATGGACTAAATCACTTTGAAGGCTAATGCCCTAGATCACTTACTAAGTAACAGTGGTTAGGTACTTAGGTGTGCACTTTGAGAACCAGCAGTGAACAACTATGCACGATGAGCACCAGCGCATGAGAGTGGGTTGAGATAATATCAAAACATGAGAGTGGGTTGAGACAATATAAAAAACATGAGAGTGGGCAAAACGTCATAGGCACTTAAATCCAAAAAATGTGTGTAAAAAGAATGAGAAAATTAGAGGACAGCCAGATTAGGGAGCAGATTAGTTACACAATGAAAATATCTAAGAGAAAATTAAGTAGATATGAAAAAAGAGGTTTTAATATTTGATTGGGTTCCAAATGTCAACAGAACAAGGTCCTACAAGCGTTAGTGGGGTGTCGGCATGAGAGTTGTGGGACTGCGGATGCATACACAAGGTAAGACATATGCTGAAGAGATCTAGAGCTTAAGGGTATATGAAGTAAAATGTGGTGAAGCAACAAATAAAGTGCAAGTGGGATGCATACAACGCAAGCAAGAAATAGGTAGCATTTATGATAACTCATAAGTAGAATTGTCAGAGACATGATCACAAAAATCACTAATGTGAGTGCACACATGTAGAAGAATTGGGATTTTGGAGTTATGACTCATAGCAAGTTCAAAAAGAGAAAAGAGCTAGAGGAGATTAACTAAAATCTAGCATTGATACTAAGTTGATGAGGGATTAAGAACATATGGGTAGTGGCGTGCAAAAAGGCACCAAAAAAGTGTGCAAGTGGGATTCATACAACACAATTGGCATATTTGACCAAATTCTATTAAACCTTTTTATAAGAAATGAAATTTTGGACTTATAGATCACAACAAATTCAAATGAGATTAGGGCTTGTTAGAATTAGCTAAAATCTAGCATTGATACCAAAATTGATGAGGGGAGGAAGAACTCACTTAAGAATTTGGTCAAATATCGTAAAGAAAATCTAAACATATCCAACCTTAACAAATGCAAAATTTAAAACTAATCTTTATCTAAAAAAAAATAAATAGAACAAATAAATTAAATCAAAGAAAAATAAAAGAAATTAAATACGATTTTAAAAAAAGTTGTAAACTGATCAAGTTCAGCTCGTTTGTAGATTGGTTTGATTCCTTGTAATTAGCTTATAGATAATCAGTTCATTTAGGATCTATTTGGAACACTTACAATTTTTTATGAAGGTGGTTATTAAGTTTTTATGGGGAAAACAATCTTTTTAAATGTTTTTGAAAAAAAAAATATATCAGCTAACAAGTTTATTACAACTACAACATTTTAACAGATCTGGTCCTTAAATGCAGTGTCTCACCATAAAATTTCTAAGAAACATCAAGATAGCAGTAGCCAAACAAACACGTGGTGATGTTTTAGAAAAGTAATGCAGTAAAAATGCTGCCCCAAGTAAATCCTTAATGTTATATTACTCTCTCCCATATCTTCAATGTATAACTCGCAAACTTGATTACTCAATAAATACCTCAATCTGTAATATCTTCTTTGTTCTTAAATGGTGCTTCTATGAACATTTGGCATCTATTAATGTTTTAGAATTTTGAGAACCTTTTTAGTCAAGTCTATTATATAAATCAATAAAATTATAAATTTTATTTGTTCATTACCCAATCTAAAAGTCTTCTAACTTTTTTATAAGTAAGGAGGAAATGATCAAAATGGTCCCTAGACTAATTATGCGGTAACAATTTAGCCTAAGACTATTAAAGATATCAAACTTATTAGCCACTTTGGCTGCTCAAATCTAATTCAAAATAGTTTCACAATTATATTAGCTATTCAATCTGATGAAATTTTCACGCAAAACTGAAGTAGGTGGAAAATAAGGTTATTTTTCTATAAGAATTTTATATACATCCAGATTTGCTTGAAATAACCTTACTCTGCATCAAATCATGAACATTATATGACTTTTTTGTAAGATTAAGTAGTGATTCTAATTGTGCAAGTATTTTAAATCATATTTAAAGAGTCAAGAGATTAAATTAGATGTTTTAAATATGTTGAGACTAAAATGCATAGCGAAGTTAGAAGAATGCATGACATTCCAAAACGATGCATCAAAATAAGAATCAAAATAAACAGTAACAAAAGTCGAACATAGAAACATATAAACATTCATAAACTAAATAGCAGTCACCTTCAACGGCAAAACTGATACCTGCACAGCTTCATTAGATGAATTTTTTGTCCACAATGCTATCCTTTCTTGTTTTGGACGTGCATTGACAACTGCTCCGCAAATTTCATCCCCATGGTCAAATTGCTCGCCAATCATTGCCAGCAACTAGATTGAACCAAAAAAAGTAAACATGAATTGAATAAATTATAAGATACACAGTATAACTGGAAATTGAATTGAGTTGAAACTGACAAGAATTTGGAAGGGATAAGAAACATACAGTATACAACCACAATGTATCTGACTTTCCTCTTTGACAGACAATAGTCCATCTCCCTCCATTTGCACATATCGGGTCTTCCCATTTCGGTTCAATCTTGTATTTAAAACAGTAGATGTCTGTTCCACTAATTAACATACTTGGATGATAAATGTTGTTGTAAAGTCTGAGAGAAAATTCACAATGTATTTAGCATGGTGTTGAGGGAGTTCTTAGCAAGTAGAGAACGTTCTGTGGTTATTTAACAAACATAAGCTTTGAAAAGTAAGCAAAATTCTCAAAATCATTCTAATGAAATGTGAAACCTTTAAGAACATATTACCAAATACATAGCAATGACCACACCATAAAGATCAATCTGTTAGTTATGGAGTACAGTGTCAAAATAGTCCCAAACCATTTACATGGAGCCATTTCAGTTCCACATTTCATAAATGTGCCAAAATAGTCCCCGAGTACTTTAAAATTAAGCTCTAATGGTCCTTTATGAGATCTACTTCAGCCCCGATTTAAATAGTTTGTGGACTATTTTATATAGTTGATTCAAAAATTCAGCTCTAATAGTCTCCTATGGGGCCGCCAACATTTGTTGACTCAAACATTGCAAACTAAAGTTGTTGGGTTTGAATTGATTAAGGAACTACATAAAGATGATAACAAATTAACGTCATTTGGGTGAAATGTCAAGAATGTCCACAACAAGGTTATCACTTGAAAAATGGCTATCTATTTTTGGAAAAGAGATTATGCATACTGCAATGCTCCATGACATGAGGAAGGTTTAGCTAGACATTTTGGTCGGGACAAAACGTTGGCTTTGCTCGAAAAAAATTTTAATTGGCCCACAATATCACGAGACGTGAATTGTTTCATCAAACAATGCCAAACTTGTTATTGCCAAAAACCACTAGTCATAACAACAGACTGTATAAACCTATTCTTGAAACACTATGGATTGATGTTAGTATTGATTTTGCGGTTAAGTTGCCTCGGACTCAATGCAACAAAGACTATTATGGTGGTAATGGATCGATTTTTTAAAATAGCTCACTTTATGATGTGTGCCAAGATTATGGATGTCATACATATTGCAAATCTGTATTTCAACGAGATTGTGCAATTACATGGAATTCCTTAAACTATTACTTCTGATCAAGCATCAAATTTCTCAGTTACTTATGGAAGACTTTGTAACTAAATTACAACTTTGTTTAGCTTCCCATCCTCAAATTGATGGCCAGACGTAGTTTCAACAGTAGTTTGGGTAATTTTACTGCATTGTTCTGTTGGCAAGAAAATTCGGGAGTGAGATTACATCCTTGCACAAGTGGAGTATGCTTTTAATCGATCCTGAGATCAGACCAATAGGAAAAGCCCTATCAAAATTATGTATGGTTCCAATTCAACAACTCCGATTGATCGATTCCACAACTACTTATTTGTCATTATAATCCAGATAGTGATGGCCAAGAATTATAGCAATTGCATCAACAAGTCAGTGAAAGGATCGCTAAACAAAATGCAAGTTACCAAAATCAGGCCAATAAGTCATACCAGTCTGTAGTTTTCAAAGTTGGAGACCTTATATGAATAAGTTTAAGAAAAGAAAGGTGTCCACCAGGATAATTCGCAAAACTCAAACCCCATGCTGATGCCCCCTTCAGAATTATCAGAAAAATCAATGACATTGACTATCAAATTGATTTACTTGGAGGCCCGAGTTTATCAACCACTTTCAATGCGGCTGATCTCACTCGATACTATGAACCTGAACCACCACTACAATGAGGGGACGGCACATGAGCTTTAATCATTTTAATAATGATTGTCTGTTTAGGTTTCAGTTTGTTTTATTTCAGGTTTACTTTTTTTCGTGTCAGGCCTAGGTTATGTTTTGGAGTCTCGGTTTACCGTGTTTGTTGTTGTAACAGATCCAGTCCGATTGTGTGGAGTAGGCTGTTTGAGCCTTAGTTTTGTTGCATAAATTGCTGATATTAGTAGGGGAAAGACAGATGGCTCTGGAGGCGTTTTTCTGTTCCAGAATATCTTAGGTTATTCATGTTGTATCATGAAAGTTTCAGGGGGTTGGTTTCTTGGCCTGAACAAAAATTCAGCCATTGTTGTTCGATTGCTGAAATAATTTCCAGAATTCTGTTTCGCGTGACTATTTCTTTCTTGTTTCCTTCGGTTGATGTTTTAAGTGGCTTGTCTTTATTGTTTTTCCTTCGGTTGCTGCTTCAGACATGAATATTCTAGCTTGCAACAAGGATAAAGACAGAAATCACAGCAAATGAAAGAGCCAGGCTCCGCAATAGTGTAAGAAGACAAAACCTCAAAAATAGAAATCAAACAAGTCCTAACATTAAAAGGAAATCAGGAATTTCATTTAAATATTCAACATACATTTATTTTTACATGCCTTGGGCACTTACGTATATGATACTAGAGTTAACCCAAAATACAATAGGAAAAATAAATATTATTGCTGAAAGCAAATAGGTGGTTACAATCAAACACACTTGTAAGTAAAATTATGAGCAGTACGACGCAAAATCACAATAGAGCTCGATCCATGGGTGGTGGAGGACTGCTAGGTGGTCGGGGAGAGGAGGTAGGTGGCTGAAATAGGTCGTGGGTGGTTGGGACAGCAAAAAAAGGGCTGGAATTGTGTTGGCAGCAAAGTGGAGGGCTGGGTCAGCGAGGGCAGCAAAACAGAGCGCTGGGACAGCAACGGCAGCAAAGCAAGTCAAATTGCGGACTGCAGGGCAGCAAGCGGAGTGTTGTCTGGTGCGAGGCAGCAAGCGGGGACTGCAGGGACAGCAGGATAAATTGCAGTCTAGGCGGCAGCAAGTCAGAATGATGGAAGCGGAAATTAGCATAGATGGAAAGCAATGAGAGCCTAAGGATGAGTGGAACTATAGCAAGGAGTAATGGGCAAGCAGAAAGTTAGGTTCGATAAGTAACTGGAGCAAAAATTTTGGATCAATTAATCAACTATTCTAAGACAATTGGAGCTGGTTTTATTATTTCATCCCCTCCTTCTGACTTCACACGTACCTTATAATCTCCTTAGTTTTTAAACAAAAATACTGGTCTATTTTCCTACAACTATTCTTGAAGATAAGAAAATTGCCACTACGAATTATGGATATCAAAAATATTAAGCTAGAAGGAAAAACAGTCATCCATGTGATAATTTATGGGTGTTTTCATAGAAAATCCAACAATTATGATCAGATAGGCACATGATGAAACATGAGGTGATCAATTACATGGCTAATGCCTCGGTCATTGTCAGGTCTTTGAAGCACCAGTAAACGAACAAACAGGTCATGAGAAACTCCATCCTAATCTGCAAAAGCCTTCTTGGTTATGTGTGGCAGTTCGTTTTTACCAGTTGGCATAGAACTCAAATTCTTTGAAGAACTTTTGCTTGATAGTTGTGGTACATATGATTGCCATTGGGACCTCTCAAGCACAAGATCATATTCCTCTCAAGCTTTTCTTTGTTCATGATTTGATATTCTTGTGTCCACTCAATAATGATTCTCTCACAACTTGCACTGTAGTTTTTGATAAGTCGATTATGTTTTGTTTTGAATTCCTAGGACATAACTAGAGTTGGATTTATAACTATGAATTGCATCCCTCAACAGCGTGTTGTTCCCATTTCCTTGAAGTGGGAGTTTTGAACATAGAAAAAGCAGCAAGATTGGTTTCCAGCTCTTTTAATTAGTTAAGGGCCAACCATTAATCTTTTTCTGTTTTCTAAGAAAAAGAATGAAACGCAGATAAAAGACAACAAATAAACATCACAAAAGGATCAATAACTGCTAGAAGATGATTAAAAAAACAAGAAGTTCGATATAAAGGCTGCGCATTCAGGGCTTCTCCAACAGCAATACTTAAAAAGCCAAGTAGCAACAAGAACAAAAAAAAGTACAGCCTAAAACTAGTTTCCACCAGAGAACAACAGAAAATAACTTATCGGCCAAACAAAATTAATCTTGCCCCAATTCTCTGATAATAAATTGGGAAATTCGATGCACAAAAATAAAATCGTAATAAAATTCCTAGGACAGAACCAATATTGCTGTACCGTCCTAAAACAAAAAAATCAGACCAAGAAGCCACAGCGAACCTCCAGAAATCTTCAACTGTGTGGAACGTGTAGATGGGCCGTATGGAGCTTCCCCAAGCACCTTGCTTCGCCTTGCCGGAGGGATCATCGAACCAGAACGTCCACGAATGTTCCAAAGGGTGCGGCGGCATCGCGATGGGTTCTCCGCTCTTCTCCGCCGACGAACCCTCCTGCGACTCGTTTTCCGGTATCTCACCTTCCTCCATTTCGTCATCCACTCCCACTTCGCCCTCCCTCTCTCCGTTCCCCCGTTCCTCCGCCATAATCATAGGCTGGCAGTTCGATACGAGTTCAATAAATGATCGAAGAAATAACCTCGTATCAGTTATGACCTGTTCGGGGAACTTATGTAGGTTCTATTTTCCTTTTTTAATTATTTTAAAAATCAACTATTAATTTAATTTTTTTTTAATAAACATATTCAAAAGTTTAACTCAAATCAAAATGCATTCATATTTGATTGTTGAATACTTATTCATCTTTAGCCACATTTTATATTAATTTTAAAATGAGTGAAATAAACTCTAAGCTAATTTCAAATAAGAAATTAAGAGAATTTTAAAATATATTTAAAAAAATGCTCAAAACTTATTTAAATTTTATTAAAAGATGAGTTCGAATAGAAATTAAACAAAATTGGAAAGATTTTGTCTAAGATTTGAATATAGTTCAAACAAGATTTGAATAATCATGATATAATTTTATTTAATTAGAGTTAATGTAGTTTTCAACAAAGAGTAGCAAAACACAAAATGACAAGTATTACGGTGTTTAGTAATCTTTTATTTTTAAGACAACTTTTAGAGGGTATTTGGTAGTGATTTTTAATATGAGTTATCATCCGATTTATTGAATTTGACCAAACGCTAAAATGCACAAGTTTAGTGGATTTAATAATTTTTGGGTTTAGGGTCTCATATTCTGCCTTCGAATTTGCTTAAATCGGGATTTACTAGAGTTGGAGTGGATATAACTTATTAAGCGCTTACGAATTTGCTAAATCTTACTAATGTTAGATTCTACTTGGAGCCAAACACCCCCTTAAGCTTTTCTAATAGAAATAACACACAAATCCCTTCATTTCATTTCAAACCTGTGATATATCTCTTTTCTTAAATGGATATATAGTTATAGTCCATGCAAGTAAGCACATTTCTTATATATGGTATTTTAAACACAAGCTATATGAACTGACAGATCCAAGCCAAAACCAACATATGTATTCACAAAAGATTTATAACATCAAAATTTTTCCACGACCATTTCGACAAATTAATAACAGCATGATGGTCCCCATCATGAACAAGCAATTTAAAATGACTAAGGATATAAGAGATCAAGCTTTTATCCTTATTTAAAAGCTTTCTAGGCACTTCTTTGATTTTTGTTACTAAAATAATTTGTGTTTTTTCTAGAATTCTTTGATTTTTGTTACTAAAATAATTTGTGTTTTTTATAGAATTACATATGTCACATATGTCAAAAAAGTTATTTTTGCATTATAACCTTTAAAAGTCTAATAATGCAACTAAAAGATAGGAGTGTGCACTCTTGTTGATATTGTTAAATTATCTAAAATACTAATTGTCATCATATTGAATCAAATTTGAAGAAAGAAGGCACGAGCCTATTGTTCAAAAGTAATATGTTCATATAAGAGGCTATGCAAAATTCTTGATACATATCACATCAAAGCACTTAAAAATTCAGCTCTCATGTAAGCTTTTGAAGCTAGGTGATACTTTTTTAGAATAATCATCAAAGTTAAAAATTGCAGTGTTATTTATTGCCAAGTGATGAGTGCAAACTTCGTAGCGAACCCCTGGAAAAAAGACTAACAAAGCATTGGTGATATTTTCATGCCTATAAAAATTACCACATAATTTTTCACTAAGTTTATTGATGACCTCAACCTAGTCTGATAATACAACCATGCCTTATTATTTTATGAGTTTACAACTATATTTGCAATTGGATGAATTTGAGTATTAGATATTCGATAATTTACTCGTGGTTCTCTTTGATTAAAACTTATTCATGAACATTTATCTAATTAATAGAATAAGCTTGAACACATTTATAAATGCTCAATTATTAAGTAAGCAATTCTGAATCGTTTACTGCTCACTTCAGTTATAATTATAGATGGTATCATTTAAAGCACATGAATGGACACCATATGAAGCTTAATTAAGGCTCGTTTAAGTCTCCATGTTGACTAATATCGTTTAAAGTTTTATTTTTAGTCTTTTTAAGTTTAATATAATGATGATTATTTATTTTTCCAAATTAGCAACTCATTTGAAGCTAGATAAGCTCGTCTCTATAAAGATTACTTATTTTGTTAAATGACTAGTTCATTAATAAACTCGATAATTCTATTATCAATCAAATTTGAGTTAAGCTCAATTCAAGCCCGAATTACCATTATTTTGAATGAATTGAGATTAAATACATATAAAAAAGCTAGAATCGAGCTCGATCCGAGCTCAAATAATATTAAAATAATAAAGTCAAATGAGTTTATGCTTTACTTAGATTTCCTTGGTTTATTCATAGCCTTAATATTAGAATTTGTACCACAACAATAAACAAAGTACAAACACAAAAAGCATTTTAAAATATTTCATCTTTGCTTAACACTTAGCAAATACATATTTGAATACTTATATAAAAAGTCTCAAAAGAGAAAAAATAATAATCTTGAATTTTTTTTCTCAAATTTGTAGAAGATTAACTATTATTTTTAGGTTTTTCTTATGTAGATAATCGTGCATGATGGTAATTTCTAAAAGATAATTTGAGAGCCTCTTGCATATGTGACTATTTACCCGCAACATTGCTTAGACTTCTCATAGCACAAATCAATATTGTAGTCTCTCTTTAAGTATGATATGATCATCTTTGGCTTGAAGTTAGAATCAAATGCAATTAGTTTTTATTTGCTTATACGTTCAATAAGTTATGTTTGAGCTTATTAATTATCATTTTATCTTACATTGAGTGTATGCACCTAGAGTGACAACCACATGCAAACGATGAGGAAGGTGTGCTATATATGTAATTAACATATCAAATACAACATGCAAAACAATAAAAAATGGGCCAACCAAAAGGTATGTGGTTGTGCTGATCGATATAGGTTGACCGATTGAGCCGTTCTATAGGGACAACGATCGAGTCGGACGAAAGTGAGCAACCAGTCGCTATCTTAAAGCGAGTGTCCAAGCCGACTGATGTTGATCGATCGATCAAAGCGTTCAACAAGGGACATCCGTTCAAACTGAATTATACCGGGAGATCGGTCGAACTGATCTAAAGCGGGCCATGGAGCTTGCAAAATTAACCATTTTTATATGCACATTTTAACAAATTGATCATATGCAAACATGCAAATGCACCAAATCACATTTGATAGTAAGTTTAAACGCTCCTAATGATCTCACATTAGGTCTAGAGTTAGTGATGGAGAGGTGTACCAATGCCTTAATACGGGAGGCAAAAAGACGCTCATCTTCATTTTTTCGACATAAAAAAAAGGGTTTCTTGCAAGGAGAACTATTCACGACTGAGGAAATGAAAACCAAAGAAACGTCATCGTTCTCTCAGCTTTTCAGTTTCAAATGTACATCCAAATGAAGCCGTCAAAACAAACAACAAGATTAGTAGAATCTAGTATATTGTAGGACTTTAGAGCTAAGGTTTAAGAAAGGGAATCACTCGGATTTGCAAGGGTAAGTTCACAAAAATCCCTAACCTATCAGCTTCTTCTAACACACTCTCCTAGCCTTAATTCTCTAACAACCAAACCTAAGGGGCTCTAGGAATAAAAAATTCAAGAGATTGGAGCCTTTCTCACCTACGTGAGGTTGGATATGCATTTTCTTGGCTTGCTACAAGCTCCAACCTCACTCTAGTGACGCTAGCTTTGTTACATTTCCTAAGATGGAAGAAGCTCCTAATGCAAAGATACAAAATTAACCATTTTTATATGCACATTTTAACAAATTGATCATATGCAAACATGCAAATGCACAAAATCACATTCGATAGTAAGTTTAAACGCTCCTAATGATCTCACATTAGGTCTAGAGTTAGTGATAGAGAGGTGTACCAACGCCTTATTACGCGAGGCAAAAAGACGCTCATCTTCATTTTTCAAACATAAAATATAAGGTTTCTTGCAAGGAGAACTATCTACGACTGAGGAAATGAAAACCAACGAAACGTCATCGTTCTCTCAGCTTGTCGGTTACAAATGTCCATCCAAATGAAGCCGCCAAAACAAACAACAAGATTAGTAGAATCTAGTATATTGTAGGTCTTCAAAGCTAAGGTTTAAGAAAGGGAATCACTCGGATTTGCAAGGGTAAGTTCACAAAAATCCCTAACCTATCAGCTTCTTCTAACACACTCTCCTAGCCTTAATTCTCTAACAACCAGACCTAAGGGGCTCTAAGAATGAAAAATTCAAGAGATTGGAGCCTTTCTCACCTACGTGAGGTTGGATATGCATTTTCTTGGCTTGCTCCAAGCTCCAACCTTGCTCTAGTGACGCTAGCCCTACTACATTTCCTAAGATGGAAGAAGCTCTCCTATTGAAGGAGAATTCAAGGAAGTTCCCAGCAAATCCTTCTCTTTTTTCCTCCAGAAAAATAGAAAGTTGGCAAAGGAAACGATCCACAGGAAGAGGAAGATAAAGAAAATGGAGAAGATGAATTAGAAGAAGGAGAAGAGAAGAGAAAACCCTCGCCAAATGCTCAAAAGCTTACAACTCTCTCCAAAATGCTCACCTTGGCTTCTCTCAAATGAAAATGGTGATCCCCCTAGACCACGGGAGGCTCTGAATAATTGAAGCATGCACTCTAAACATTAAAATGGACATTAAACGCTTGTTAGAATTATAGTCACCCAACAGTGAGCTCTCCCAGGTAGGGTTGAATCGGTACCAATCTTAGTTCCGTGCTTGAGGGACGTACCAGGAGGTTTGAAAGGATGACTTGGATTATTGAAGATTGTAAATCTTGAGAAACACAATTTTGTAGCATTCAAGTGGACACCTCACACATACGGCATCAAAAGTGATGTCAACAACATTTAACGTACCAGGAGGTTTGAAAGGATGACTTGGATTATTTAAGATTGTAAATCTTGAGAAACACAATCTTGTAGCATTCAAGTGGACACCTCACACATAGGGCATCAAAAGTGATGTCAACAACATTTAAATGTCCACCAAGTCACATCTGATTGAGGCTCTCTCTCCTAGTCGTCTGATGGAGTGGTCTGGGTTCATTTCTTATTTGCAGT